ACAATTTAAACCCTAAGATGTAGACAGGGAAAAACCAACACATGAAACTCTACATTTTTTCAGCAACAAAATTTTAAAATTAAGTAGAGGGCGTTGCCCTAAAAATGCCATATTTTTGTCTAACTAACTTTTTCCTTTTTTTGAGGATCTTTTGTATAACTAACTAGAGAAAGAAAGTACTACGGGCCCAGAAAGGGCGCACAAAGCAACCAGACGCAACTGGGATATTCTTCTTCTCGCCTCCCATCCGCCGCCGGCGAAAATGTTCGCGCTTCGCCGCCAGGCCGCTTCCACCTCCGCTCCACTCCTCCGCCGCCGCCTCCTTTACGCCCAGCCCAATCCCATGCCCCCTCCGCCAACTCCACGGACGCCGTCCAACGATGGCGCGTGGGCCTGGGCCGAGCGCGCGGCCAAGCTCTCCCTGCTGGGGTTCACCGGCGCCGCCACCGCCTGCGCCGTCAGGGACACCTCCGTCTTCCTCGATCGCACCAGGTCCAACGCCCGTCCACTCGCCCGTTTACAAGTTGTGCGGCGTGTACGTAGTTTATGATCTGATCTGCTATCTCCTCGATCCTGCACTCAAATTTTTGTTCGTTTACATACCAAAAAAACAGGGTGGAGTATGTTTCCAACAAGGTAATGGAGATGGCTGCTCAGAACCAGCAGGTAGCGAGCGCGATCGGCGGGCCTATGACGCCGGGGTTCTGGCACAGCATTTCCATTGCCTGGAAGTGGAACCTCGCCAGGCATTACCTCTCCGGCACTCTCCAGGTATCCGGGCCCCAAGGAGACGGCCTTCTTACCTTCCAGGCGGTTCGCTCTAGAGGTGTGTGTTCTTTAGTTTCTTCTTTGTTGACATCTCAACTTACTTATGTGGGTGTCCAAGTGCTCAATAATTGGATTAGGAGCCTTATACTATGTATCTCGATATTGTCGAGATTGTCCACTGTACTGTGTTCCTGCATTGCAGATATATATATTTATTGACAAATAATGTTGATTCCTATTCATGTTTTATGCTGTGCCTTGAGTGCTTATGGATTCTGATTCAACATCACAACCTAATTCTTTTTTTTCATCACATGTTTTTCCTCGCAGATAAATCTTGGTTCCGGTTTCTACGGTACAGCGACTGGGAGATACCCATAATGGATGCCATCCTTGATGTTCGTACTGATGACGGGAAGCACCAAAGAATTACGGTAAGGATTCCAGACAACATGACTGCTCCACCACCTCAAGAGAAGACACGTTATTTCGTCATTACTCAGAACATGATCGCTATCAAGAGGTGATTGTTTTCTATGCATTATCCGTGAGAGAAATAAGTAGTGCACACTAAGTATTACACCTTCTGTTTTTAAATATAAGACATTTTGTCAGTTCAAACTGACAATATGTCTTATATTTAAAAACAGAGGTAGCCAGTACTAGATAAGTAGTCCACATAACGGATGGAGACCAAAGTAAGTGGGACGTTGGATGATTTCCTGATGTACTGAAAGCTCAAATTCTTTTGGAGGTTCATTATTCATAATATCTTTTGCTGGTTCTGGCGCCTGTGATGCATACTTTGTACCAACTCTGAGCTGAACATATTAAGACAAGTTGTTGCTGTGTTACTCTCTATGTGTTAGGTAAATTGGGTAGATGAACCTTACACCACATAACTAGTTGTGCAATAGAACTTAGCCATAAATAATTCGAAATAAAAAGTTCTAACAAAATATGACAAATCAAACTGCAACAACTATGTAGGGCATATTTGAAACTTGTTTTTCCACACAACGCATTACGTATGCCTTGAGGGACAAATAAATTCGACTAGGCTAGGAAACGAGTAGATGTCGACAGCAGCGTCACCGCAGCTCGCATGTCTCGTGAAGACGAGTAATGACTTTCATAGTGTTCCTTGCATGTATCCATGTTTATGTAGCAGCGATCATTTAGCAAGCAACAGTAGCAATAATATTTAGCGGTGCATATCTTTGCCTTGCCGCACACCCTGTTCGGTAGATTGATCTTCTCGTCTTCCATGCTGAAGCCGATGGTTTGGCCTATGGAATAGCATACACATATGAACCACTTCTATATATGCAGTTTCTATATGATTTATAGAGAGACGAGATTTCGTACATATAGATCATAGAGAGATACATGCATTGTGCAATGGTGGCGGAGTATAGAAGGTGTCGAAAGAGAAACGCCGGTGCGAGGACGTGGACCGTGTGCTTGTTCATCCTTCTGATCTGATAACAACACTAGCTTCGTACTGACGTGATCTATGGTTGTTGATGAGTAAACTTGCTTGCTGTCAAGTGTCAACAGCTCGCCTATATATAAAAGGAGATAGTAAGAAGGGAGATCCGGTGCTATTAATCGTCCTGATCCCATGCAGAATAAGATCAAGCAATTTATTATCTTAATTCATAAGATCATTAATAGCCACACGTGTATAAATCAATTTCTTAATTTGTGAGATCATTTTTTCCATTATTACACACAAATTCCTGAAACTTGGTAGCGAAATAAGAACTATGATATAGAAATTGCCGTTTCCTGGAGTTATCGATCTCCTGTTTTTAGATACATATACGTTTCCAAACTGTGATGTGGAAATTGCAATTTGCTGGAGTTACCGATCTCCTATTTTTAGATGCGTATGTTTCCAAACTGTGATATAGAGAAAAAAAGTTTTCTAGTGCAGGAAACAATGGCACAAATGGCTTTGTCCTACCGTGCCGAGTCATCGATAGGTGGGAGCCGCTCAGGAGAGGAAGAAAAAGTCGATCGTGTTGAGACACGGACAAAAGTGACCAACTCAAGAGAGGAAGATAAAAAAAATATCCCAAATCAAGCATATAAAAAATATCCATCGGGAGATGGCATTGACGCTGACGCTAACGCTCGCAAGGCGGTTTTGCAGGCAATTTCTAAAAAAAGTTTTTTTTTTCGCGTAGCGTGAAGACCTTCCCACGGTCTTCGAGTCGTTCTTGACTGGCTAGCAAGCACCAGTGGAATTTAACCGCCTTGTGGTCGGGAATCCTTTCTTGTGATGAGCTGTGACTAGGTGCTCTGAAACGTCCTTAAATGGAGGGGCGGTGGGGTAAGGTAATTGAAGTAACTAATTGGTCGGTATTAGATTGCCTCGTTGCCTCCAGGAGAGAGTACTATGAAACCTTAGAAACTTTTGTCTGCCGATAACAATGCATGGAATAGGTCGGACAAGATAATGATTAAGCGCTCGAATTTGTATACACATTCTAAGGGGCGCCGAATTCCCGAGGATCCCACGAGGACCAATAGCAGACGAATGTTCCCAGGAAGGGATGGCATTTGCCTGGCAACCTGCCACCGCGTGATTTTGATCAGATGGTCGTGGTGGCGTTCCCCATGACCTACTCTCTAGGGAACATTCCCTAGATAACATTACCGCAAAAAAAACACTACTACAATTTGGGCATTTGTCCCCAGAACGACAGCAATTTGGGCATGTGTCCCCCTGAAATACCACCCAACAGAAGTCCCACAAAAATACAATTTTGTCTCTTTTTTCCCAAAAATTGTCACATTTTGTAAGGTACCGATTAGGGTATTTTAAGCTGGAGTATGGTAGGGCTGGCCCACCCGTCAGGGTAGACGTGACAAAAAGTCAACGCCATTAACTTTGACTATGATCTCTTGAAATGTAGCGGCAGGCATCAAAGGCCGATCGACGTTGTTGGTGGCACAACATACGTAGCATACAAGCCCTAGAAACTTTTGGCTGCTGGTACAAACATATGGGATAGATCGTGGAACAAGATAAAGCACCTAATTAACACTCAAATTTAAGATACACATATGCTAACCCGGAGATTTGATCATATTCCATTGCATGAGCTTTTGATAATATTCTCCTTTTTTGCGAGGAAAACTATTGTTTTCATTAGTACCTTAATTTTTTATTGTCTAGAGCCCACTAGTTCGGTTAATCCGAGCACTTCATCTATAAGACAAGCAACTACAATATTTTTTTTATTGATCCGAGCCTACTTGTTTTGGAGTATACTTATGTAGTTCATGTGTTCATATTTTTGTTAAAAAAATTGGCATTCCGTCTATTAACTTCAATAGAAAAAACCGCTTTTTGACTGGATTTTACATGCTTCATATGTTTTATTATTTTTAAAATTTAAATTGGGATCACTTATAGCATCTTTGTATTAGTTACTTTTAGCTCCTGTTTACTAATTTCACGTCTTTTTAACTGGATTTTACATACTTCATATGTTTTAGTTACTTTTTAGCTATTGTTTACTAATTTCACACGTCTTTTATAAATTAAGATGTGCCCAACGCGGATATACGATCTGCCTCCAGGGATCTTAATAATTTAAAATGCAACATGATAAATCAAACAACAACTAGCAAGGCATTACTCTTATTACAAACTTGTTTTCCCACAAAGTAAGCCTTACATATGCCATAAGGGGAATAAATATGAAATATGTATGCCAATTTGACTATGCGGGTAAAGGAGCAGGGGTCGTTGTCGCTAGAATGTCTTGTGAAGACGAGGAACAACTTTCCTGGCATAGGTCCATATCGGCATAGCATAGGTTATTTATATGATCGCAGTAGGAAAAATGGTCAAGGCAAAATTTTGCCTTGGCACACAGCCCATTTGGTAGATTGATTTTGCCGTCGTCTATGGCCGTGATGGTTCAGCCTACAAAACAAGAAAAATTCTGTTAAAATACGAGCAACATGTCAGATATGATGTAGTATCGTAAAGTTGTGGATATACTTACTGGATACTTACACTGAGCAATGGTGGCAAAGCATACGAGGTATAGAGACATCAAGGGCAGTACAAGGATGTGGATCGTGTGATTGTCCATCCCTAGCTAGCTCTCTGATGCAACACACGGCACTCGCGAGATGTCATGGCTGTCGATGATGAGAAAATGTGTGTGTTTTACTACAAGCTTGGTTCCTTGTTGTTAACATAAATAGGGCTTGTGTTTTACTCTATGGAAGGGGAGGATGAGAGAAGGGAGATCTGGTATTATAAGTCGTGTTTCATCCAGGAAGAACAAGATCAAGAAATTCTCCATGTGGGACTCAGTAAGTGCTATTTCGCGTGTTATTACTCATTAAGATCCATGCGCACATAAATCTTGATTTTAATTCATACTATCATGTTTTTCTCTTTCTTTAGACACAACTTTTCAAAATTTGGTGGCAGAATAAGGTGAGTGATTCGTGCATGCATGCGCACGATTGTTTGGATCGCAAGATTATAGAGAACTAGTTCTCGTCAAACTCGTTTTCTGTTATAACAACCTAAAACCATGTTTGGATTGTGTAACCAATCCGTGGATATAGAAATCCGAGTTTTACAAAAGCTCAAAAACCGAGCATTTAGAAAAATGACTAATTGATGTTTTCCCATAAACTCGTTTCTGTAGACTTGTAGACTGCGGCCACAAAGTGGTTGAACACGAGATTCACCACAACGTCATCTGCTGGCACCGGAGGAGATCGACACAGCGCCAGTTCCATCGCCGAGCTCGCCAGTTAGGTCCTGGACGCGGTTGTCGCCAAGTGGGACAGCGAGGTGGGAGTGGACGTGTCGGGATCGCCGGTTGGGTCCTGGGCGGTGGGAGCTGCCCCGGCGGGCTCGCCGGTTGGAGCCTAGAGCCCCTGAATGTTGTCACCGGCTCACCGCCATGGTGGGAGCGGCCGCGACGGGCAGGCCGGTTGGGGCCTGGATGGGGTCGTCGCCCTAGTGGGAGCGGTCGTGGTGGGCTCGTCGTTTGAGGCCTGGACATGGTCATCGCCATGTGGGACGGCGAGGCCGCGGCTATGCTCCTCTTCCATGGACCGCGTCAGTCATCACTACAAGCGGCAAAAAATAGACCGCCATGGGCACCTCATGAGGCAGCGATCGACATGAGACCTTGATGACGATTCCATGGTGAAGGAGACGGTGCGGCCGGCGGGCGGAGGTGCAGCGTGTGTTGGGGAACGTTGCAGAAAATTAAAATTTTTCCTACGGTTTCACTAAGATCCATCTATGAGTTCATCTAAGCAACGAGTCAAGGGAGAGAGTTTGCATCTACATACCACTTGTAGATCACGAGCGGAAGCTTGCCAAGGAGATGGTGATGATGGAGTCGTACTCGAACGTGATTCGGATCACCGATGTCCTAGTGCTGAACGGACAGCACCTCCGCGTTCAACACACGTACGGGACGGGAGACGTCTCCTCCGTCTTGATCCAGCAAGGAGGAAGGAGAGGTTGAGGAAG